TCGTCCGAAGGCCACAGTCTTTAAAAGTGGTCTATGCCGAACTAAAAAAGACCCAAGAATTCAGTACAAGTTTAAACCACTCAGCACTCAAACAAGCTGTTTGAATGTGCATCCTTTTTCACAGCAAATCTCTTCCACACAGGATTTACAGAATGGTTCGAAGAATCGCAAATGAATGCTAAAAAGATGAACAAATCAATATCAAATAAGCATAGATTTTACCTGGCTTGTGTCTTGTCGCTCTTTTGGCTCAAAACAGTGATTTTGCGGCGAGCTTTTTCTTTAAACGTTGTAGTTGAAAAATCTGCAAGGAGAAATAGGCCAGTTTTCAACACGTCGCCTAGTCACAGAGACAAAACTAGGTACACATACAAGCGCCATAGATCATCATTTGAAACACCTTATTAATAAGACAATTTACTGACGGTTGGCGTGTTGTCCATCCACAGGGAACTGTTTGTCGAGGAAAGAAAAAACGTCCTACGCGAAACATGCAAATAGACACGGTTCACCAAAAGTATAATGCGACGGTGAATATACAAAAATGTGCTCTGAGATTAATTTTGTAATTAATCACCCGAATAAGGGAATGTGTGGAATGAACTTGGCATGTTTTGTCTCGTACATCAGCAAACTGAAAAAATTGTTTTTCTTTTAACTTGTTTATTAACTAAGCGCTTTTTTTGAATGATAAAACGCCTGGAAACGATCTCGCCGCGGGGTTAATTTTTAATTCTCCACGCCGAATGTATGGATGCTATGAGAAGAAAAAAAGATCTTGATCACTGCCGTTTAATTTATATCTCCAGCCGCATTATTATTTTTTTCTATTCGTTGCTTTTGTTGTGGTTATATAGCGTTTTCACTGTGGCCGCATTGACACTCCCAAACAGTAAGGCCTTATTTATTTACTATGCAGCTGTTTTAAAAGTTACCATGTCGGTCCAAATATTCAATGCTGATTCTATAGGACTGCGTTACTTGTAATGAACTATTTCACAATAACTGTCTAATTTCTCGCTCACTGATTGGCTCATTTTTATCATCAATAAGAGTACAGACGGATAAAATTTTAATTTATGCAAGCTTTCAAGTTCAACTTTCAGCTGTCAAACTGTCAACTTTTTAGCCAATGAGATTTTATGGACTTAATTAGGTAGCCAATCAAAAAGCGAGAAAAGCTATTGACAATGCTCCCGTCATTTTGAATGTGATTCACTTATCTTTGTTTACGGCAAGTTTAAGGCTTCTTTTCCCCTCATTTATTCCCGGCATTTGACCATTCTGGGGTCTTGTTATTGTAAAAAACAAATTGACGTCAGTTTTTTATGCGTCTGTCCTCTTATTGATGATAAATTTCATCATAACATTGTCAAAGTTTACTGTGGAACCACTCGCCTGTAGCTCGTGGTTCCACAGCCACTTTGACAATGTTATGACGCAATTTATCATCAGTAAGAGGACAGTTTTTTTATTATCGCACACTATTTACAGAAAAACAACTTAGCGTAAGTTGGTTTACAATGATATAGGAAAAATAAATACATATAGAAATTAACTAGAAGAAACAATATTTAATTGTTTACAGTGACCAAAGTAGCCAATGAGTTTTTGAGTTGGTCACTATCATGTAGGTATAAGTTGGCGTTGGCCGCATGCTAATTTAAATAGCGATTGAAATAGCAAAATTACCTACAGGGAATCGGCTGTTGATTTAACACTTTAAGAATCTAGCCTGCGAGCAGGCCCTCCTGCGCTGCACCACGAGCTGCGAGAAATGCGAGAATCACGGCTTTTACTTTCGATATACTGATACCGTAAAATCCCACGTTAACCGCCCCCGGTTATAATCCACCCGAATATAAAGCCCTGCTATTTACCAACAAAGATATTATTCCGGATATAAGCCTCCCCAGATATAAGCCCATCTAATGTATAAGTGCGTTTCTTTTGCGTTTCATAAATGTATTTTATTATATGGCTAGCTCCGTGAGCGGGCAAGATGAATCAAATCCTGCGCTGTG